CCATGCCGGGCCAAGAGGGGCCGATCAGCAAGCCCCACTAGTGATAACGTCGCGAGCTTTACGACTTGATTCACTTGATATTCAACTATAACTATTTGTGAATGGGGCTCATGATTAAGACTTGCAGCCAAAATCTTCAGCAAGTAAATAATTGAACAGAAAAAAATAAAAACAATCTTTTTCGAGTTTAAGTTCATTTTATTTATAAATAAATATACATTGAAACTTTGGCAAGAATGGACGGCAACTGCCTGTTGTTGAGACACAAGTGTGAAGGACTGACGTTTCAAAAGTCTTCCGCCTTTATGAAGACGAAAGGCGGAAGACTTTCGAAACATCGTCCTTTACACTTGTGTCTCTACAACAGGAAGTTGTCGTCCATCCTACAAAGTTTCATCATGAATACTCTGCCTAAACAATCTATCAAAGAATATATTACTCTTAGCATCACTAAACAATTCTAAAGAGTTTGAAATTCGAGATATTTCCTGTAACAACCCGGCTGAATAAAGGTTGTGATTATTACTTGAATTTATGCTATGAAATATCACCTGTAACACTGAAATCTGATAATTCGACCCAACTTTATAGGGATGACCTGATGATAGACGTTCTCACTAACTTCTGAGAGAGTGCTCATGTTTCAATTGCAATATAAGTAATCTATATCCAATGATTAAAAAAAAAAGTTTTTCAATGACGGCAATATAAACGTTTTGTAAAATTTAAAAGCTAATTTATTATCTTTAGCGAAGTATTTTTAGTAGAACTGAAAACGTTAACTGTTTATCTCGATTGGCCTGCGAGTTAGATTTGCTTCTCGTTGGTCACGTGACCTTGGCTGGTTTTGAAATCTAGGTGTCGCTTCTCACGCCCGGATGTACGATAGAAGAATTAACAATGATCCAGCTGCTGTGTTTACACTATAGGAAGGAATACCTCCCAATTATTTTTGTTTCAGCTTTACGAGAGGAAATTAATTTTCACGATGAATGAGGCTGATCAGTATTCTTCTCTTACAACCGCCAGGGCGGTTCCCGAGCTTTCCACAGCAGTACATTAATAACAGGTGCAAGTTTTTCAAACACTTTTTTAACGATTTCTTTATTAACTTCCCTTATTAACAAAGTCATGCACCATTGTCGTGGAAAACGGAAAACGTTTTCCAGCGTTCTCTTGGGACTTTAACAATGACGGTACAATTACTAACTCGGTCTGCAACAAATGTATGAGTTACCCTATGCACTAGTAAAACACAAAGATATTCACTATAAAATTAAAATAAGCGTCAACACTACTCCCGAAGAAATGTAGAGAGCTTTTACAATATCTGGACAACCATTAGTGTATTATTCTATAGGGAAATTAGACTTGTGAGTTCCGTTGTCGTATAGTTACGTTATTTTCACCAATATAGGCACATTCCTTGACGTATCTGGTTTAACCACTCTTTTTACTACATTATAATTAGTAAAAGTCTGTAGTGTGAGTAAGTACCACCTCCATCAGAGGGCGCTTGCTCTAGATAACTTAATTCTACTCATGAAAATTGCATAATCCTACGTTAAGCACTTATAAGGTTTAGAGATTGTTCTTCTTATGAAGGTTAGGTGCTATAATACAATCAATGTGTTCTCTATCATAGGTTTCCAGAACTGTTACGTAAAAATAAAATCAGTCACAAAACATAAAAAATTATTTTCAAGTTTTACATGTTAGATATTTTTTAAAGGTAAACAAAATATGGTAACAATAGTTCTAAAATTTTAATTGCAAAATGAATCACTGCAGAATAAAAAAAAAAGAAGAAGAAGAAGAAGAAGGAAAAAATAATGCTAGGCTTTTCGGCAGTTTCCTGATAGCTGTTTTTCACTCTTCGTGTGTGCGTCATTGTGTTAACAATATTATAAAAGCCTTGCGTTACATCACAAGGTCACATGATCTATTGTTTACTCCGCCATATTGGACGTCAAGCGCTTACATTGGTCTCTGATGAAAAACGATAAAATTGTCCTCTAATATCGTGTTATCTGGCGTTGTGAATCATCTTGATGATGCGCATAGAGAAATATATGTCGAGAATCTAAAGAGCTGTAGAGTTTTGGGATCTGTATCTTATGCTATTAATAAAGCATGTAAAGTTTTACGGAATCTTATTTTGATATTGATTGCTGTTGACCGCTAGAAGGGAATGTTTGACATCCAATATGGCGGCGTTGAACGAAACAGGAAGCTTTATTCAGTTTTCCATCATTGTATAAAAGTTAAAGAACTTTTTTTCCTTATACAACTCAAAATTACAGAAGAAGCAACGACTTATGTTGTTATACCTATATTTACGTCGGTATTGAACTACGAATCATCAGCTTGAGCTTCTGTTAGTTTATATACATGCTATATATTGTTTTTATTTTCACTTTTTTTGCACAAACCTATTTGAAGGGCTATTTGTGCGTAGCTGCCCATATTTTGAACTGGTAGATTAGAGAGAAGGCTGTTGGTCAACAGTAAAGACTTGGGCTACTCTGACCAAAGTGTGGGATTTGACCGCCCCTACACAAGGCCTCTAAAAGCGAAGTGCGTTTTTGTGACCTCAAATCCACAGTTTGGGAACGCCCAGTACGTGCCTTACAATATTTTAAATAAAGTGACCATGAATGAGGAGAACGTAATAGAATAATAATTCAATTCCATGAACTGTTTCTAATGAGTCTTTAGGAGTAGACGTACCTGCAAAATATGTGTTCCTTGATGTTGCTCAAAGATAGTCATTGCCAAATCTTGTATGGTTCGGGCTCGTAAAGGTGCGCCTAGTGAAGACAAACAATAAAGAAATTAGTAGATATCTCTTCAACCAAATTTAATGTTGGATAATTTACAATACAGATGCTTAAAAAATATTAGTGTTATCATTTTTCATTTAAACTCGCATGCCAACTGCTATATAACATTTTAAAATGGTTTCTAAACATTTCTCAGACATAGCTTATTTTTTAGTCTCATATTGATCACAGACAGAATCAAACTAAAACCCAATGTGTATTTCATTTTTTCATTTACACCTCTAAAGTTCAGCTGAGTACTGGTAATGATAGGGCTAAATGGAGATGTTAACAGACAAATCCCTCATTAATTCTAATTTGGTCTGAATGATTGTTATAATGACTTTTAGCTATCCCTATTTGTCTTCACTAACTGAAGAGGATGATGTACTTAACACGAGGGAGAGAGAAATCAATTTTCCAAAACTAAGGTAAAACAAAACTCGAGTAATATCGAAACTTATAAATTTAGTATAGTAATATTAATCAACAGATATGTTAAAAGAAATATGTTCATGAATATATGACTCAAACAAAGACATAAAGATACACATATCAGTAAATCTATATATGCATATAGATTGATATATGAACAAAACAGGCATGTATTTTTGAGCATTAGTAAGTGTATTGAATGAGGACAATCATCAATGAATTATACGGTGATATTACAGAACAATTACTTTTTTTACAAAATCATTTGATCACAAAAACATTTTACAAAGCATTGCTTTTGCATAGAAAGATATTACAAGTCAACTTAGTTTTTTATGAAAAAAAAAGGTTTTTACTAAGCAACAGTATTTTGGGAATAATTTCTAAAGACCATAAGTTATTACCTAATAACTTTAATTACTGCTTTTATACAGTGATTTTGGCAAGCATTTTTTTTCTGACACAAAATGATCTTACTAAACAACAGTTTTTATGGAATGATTTATCACTAACGGTTATTATAGAATGATTTTACTAACTAAAAGTTATTCTAAAATGACTTTACTAAATAACCATTTATTATAGAACGATTTTGCTAAATAACGGATTATCTTGGAATGATTTTACTTACTAAAGGTTATTCTAAAATGACTTTACTAAATAACCATTTATTATAGAACGATTTTGCTAAATAACGGTTTATTTTAAAATGATTTTACTAACTACAGGTTATTCTAAAATGACTTTACTAAATAACCATTTATTATAGAACGATTTTGCTAAATAACGGTTTATTTTAGAATGATTATAATAAATAATGGGTATTATAAGATGATTTCAACGAGTAATAGTTTATTTTAAAATGATTTTACTAAGAAGCAGTAGTAAATAGAATGGTAGTTACTACAATATTTAGAATCAGTTGTATATGAAATGTTTAACGTTTGAAGATAACTTCAAAATAAAAACTGAATGAACATTAAGTTACATGGTTTGGGTCTAGTAAGTTTTTCTTTCTCTCGCTAACAAGCTTTATTTTTTAAAAGAAAAACAAAATTTGAGACAAATTATCAAGAAGTTTTTCAATTGCACATTGTTTACTGTGAGCGATTGTGAAAAAAAAAATATATTTTGCATTAACTCGTACTCTTTAATGCCGAATTCTTATTCTCATGTCTTGAATTTTTCTTAGAATTTCTTTTTATCTCATGTGTTTTATTTGAAATTTATTTTACAAAAAGTTAAAATAAATGTTTTTTCTCTATGGTGTTCATTGCACTAACCACTATTTTTGCTTCGAATGAAAAAATAAAAAGGATACTTGCACCGTAAAACTAAATAAATGTAATAAATAAACAAAATATTTACATAAAACCAGTATATACTTGAGATATGATAATTTTATCACGTTCATTTCATGTTTATAACTTGTGTCAGGAACAATGCTTACTTTAAAAATATCAGTAACAGCGGAGACACTATAAAAACAAAATTCGCTTGTCCGAGAAAGGCTCTGATTTTTATTGCTTTGAATCTCCCATAACATTGGACTATTTGAAATTGTATGTGCATATGTAGGGCTGTTCATTTAGAAACTATACTAAACTTTATTAACTAGCTTACACGTACGTGGATGATGTATACGAAAATAGGACAGATTTCTTGGATAAAAAAAGTATACCAAATACAATACATCCACGTCCGATAAGAATGTGAAAAACGCCGGAAAAAACGTATAACTTTCTTTGAGAACAATCGAATTAATAGTTAAAAGTCTGATTAAAATTTATTCTTTACATTTTAAATAACTTCACCAAATCATCAAAACTCAGTTAATATATATATATATATATACAAACAGCGGCTTAAAACAAAACTTTATATACACCAATGGAAACATTGAATTTTCTTAGAGTACTGAAAATTGGTCTATAACATACGAACCATCACGATCTTAAGAACAAAAATCTACAGTCTAAGAAACTATAATGTTGTTAGTTACTAAATGACGCAGCCCTCTAGTTACGAGTTTATGTCTTCTAGATCAAGAGATGGATCCGATAAACATGTGCTAGAAGATTTCTGTGCAATAAATTAACATGGATTATACACTTACAAACAGGTCTTCTTCGTGCTCATGTTACTACTTATTCGTGCAAGGAGTCCAAACACATTAAAAAGACATTTCACTATTTGATTGCTGAAGGAAATTTGAGTTAGGCTTAAACAAACGTAGTGTATCTATCTATCTATATAACTTGTAAGTGTATATTTATACGTTTGTGTGTGTAAATATATATATATATAGATAGATAGATACGTTAAGTTTCAATCTATATAAACGCTTATTTTTTCTCTCTCTAAATTGTCGGTTTTTTTCAATTGACTCAGAATTGAAAATATTCAATATTCCTTTGAAGAAGGGACTAATGTAATATCGTTATCGACACGGTATATCCATAAGTCTATATATATATGTGTGTATGCGTATATTATGTGAGTATATATGTATATACATATACCCATGTGTGTGTACTATATATATATATACATTTACAGCCTGTGTATATATATTGAGAACCTGCTTGTCTGTTGTCTGCCGTTTCTGATCTTGGTGAAGTTTTTTTAGAGTATCGTATCAATTTGAATTACAGATGTGCTCTCTTCACTGGAGTTCACAGCATCATTGTCATAAACAAATTTTCTTCTATAAAGCCCTTTCGGAAAAGCTCGGCCCAGCAACCTCGTCAGGAGACTGAATTACATTTGTTGTCATATGGTAAAGCGAACCATGGGCTGCAGGAACGAGGGAAGGGGGGGGGGAGTGAGGGGAAGAGAAGCTTAGAAGAGAAATATTGCTGCTTCATGTTACTCTCTCGATATGCAACGTGTTTTAATATTTTTAAGATGACTTATTCCTTGATAAGTCTTGTTCAGAGTTTAAACAGGATCTTGATGAAGCTACTTTCTTGGCACTACTTCATTTTCCTCTTTAAATATTAACCAAGAATGTTCAATAAAAGAAATTTAGAGCTCTTCAGGTCGACCTTAACAAAGAAGATTTTCATGCAGATACTTACAATCTAAGGTTAACACCAGGATTTAACTGGATACGTTATCACAATAGAGAAAGCCGACACAAAGTTGCTGAAACGTCAACTTACCGAAAGATTCTGCCCAAACCGAAGACAAACTTCATTAGTAACCCCCATAGTAATAAAGGGTGTTTAGATCGATCATATCAGTCCTCTCTTACACGTCAACCTTCACTAATATCCGAACAGTTGTTTGGATCGATCATATCAGTCCTCTCTTACACGTCAACCTTCACTAATATCCGAACAGTTGTTTGGATCGATCATATCAGTCCTCTCTTACGCGTCAACCTTCACTAATATCCGAACAGTTGTTTGGATCGATCATATCAGTCCTCTCTTACACGTCAACCTTCACTAATATTCGAACAGTTGTTTGATCGATCATATCAGTCCTCTCTTACACGTCAACCGAACAATTGTTGTTTTTTTTTCAAACACACTTCAGTATCATTGATACAATGGAGGTGAAAACAAAGAAATCTTACATATTTATCATTTAACATTTTAAAAGGAAATAATACGTTTAGAAGACCACTATAAAACTCAATCCAAAATATTTTGGTATGTTATACGCTTTTTTACATGATAGATATGAATATTTATTTAAACTATTGCTTGTAATAAGTTAACGCTTTACTTTCGTTCACACTGTTTTAAAATGTTGTGTAAAACTATACACAAAGACTATCTGCGCATCGCCGTCCCTAATTTGAACTGATAAGACTTCAGGGAAGACAAGTCAATAGCACCCTTTCGCCAAATCTTGGGCTACTCTTGTATAGTCGAATAGTGGTCTGGCTCTGTTAACCAAACATTGGGATTCATTGTCGCTTTTATAGTTTGTCCACAGCTGAAACTGCACAACGGCACATCAGTCAGCGCGAGCCTTCCAATCCGCTGTTCAATAAGAGACCGAGAAAAACGTGTTGTATATAATGATAAATCACCCCATGAAAAGCGTATTGCGTATAATAAAATATTAGGTATTCACGAAGGTCTTGTGTCCAATCTTGTAAAAGGTCATGTAGAATCTCATATATTATAAAGAGTATCAAAAACCAGCATTAGTTACACGATTATTGAACTCTCATGCTCGATTGTTGTGCATTCAAGATAATATATTTATTACGTTAAACAATTTAAAACCGCTAGGGTTATCGTAAGAAAAGCAAATAATTGAAATTATGTTTTATTTATTTGTGGTTAGAACATCGATGGGAGGATGAGTTCTAAAAAACATCCAACATATCTATGTTCCGAGCAGGTGGCCTAAAAAGCGGCGGATCACAAAAATAGCGCTCTTTCAAGGCAGACACTAACGCATGTGAAATAAAACCTAAGAGGAAAAAAGCACAAGTTAATTGAACAGGACCTCCAGGGAACGACTTCTCTTCTGTTCGAAAACTTCCCCTCGACCATTTCCCGATGGAGATAGTAACCACCCTATGAACCCGA